TAAATAATAATAATAATATCTCTACTCCTCATTTTAACCACGAGAATTAGCCCAGAAGTCGAAGACTTGGGCGGGAGAGGAGGCGGCATATTATTATTAAGCAGGCCGCATTTGCGCCTAGGAACGACTTATGTTGGTAGGCCCTAACCACTATTCAGTGCAAGAATGAGGGAAACCTGGAAAAATCATTAATTAGGGGGGGCGGTCAAATGCCAACCTGTGTCAATCTCTCACATTGACCCAAGCCAACATTCTTCCACCCTACCATACCCGCACAGAGGGTGCCAATCCTCCGTACAAGCATAGCTAATCTACGGTCTACCGGCCGCGGGAATCGAACCCGGGCAGAATTAGCACACATCGATTTAAGTAGTGACGCCTTAAACCATGCGGTTACCGACCGACCAAATAATTCACATGCATTATTTTTTGAAATTATGTCATCAGTAGCGTATATCACAATCAGTTGAGAATATAGCGCTGGAATGTCAAACACAATCAGTTGAGAATATAGCGCTGGAATGTCAAAATATTTGCCATAGTGGTGAATCAAAGACTGAAAAGCAGTTTCTGGAAACGGCTCATTTTTAAAATCTACAAAACTGCATAATTCAAGAAATTTCAGATCTTTAAAATTCTCAAATCTGCTATCGATTTGTTCATAAATCTGCTCAATTATTTCAGACAGAAGTCTATGGTATGTTGTAACGTCTCCACCATCGTCAGTTCGTAAACGTTTTTGTTGGGGTTCTAAATCCCCATCCTGAATTGTTCTTTCCCACACTGTGTCAAAGTCCTTCCTTTCTGAATTTGCAATATTCTTAAATTCATCGATTTTCTTAAACCAATGTTCAATGTTGTTTGGCTTGTCTTGTAACATTTTAATTAATAGATCTTCGAAAGGATCACAAAATGCAAAAATATATAAAATATATATAATGACAGCCTGTCAACCATTTATATTGTTCATATAAATTCATGTGAAAATATCTGGTGCAAGTTTTAATTTTTGTCGTTAATTTATTTAGTGTTGGTTTTGATCGTCCTTTTTCTATTATTTCTAATTTATCCATAAAATTATGCGTGGAAAATTTCTTCTTTAACAAAAAATACACAACACAACATTGCGCCACACTAATTTCGCCAGACTCATACGGTGACAATAATCTAGACGGCTCCATTTCTTAACTAATATATAATAATAATATACAAAGCACTGTATTAGTGAAGTAATCTCAAAATAATTTAAAAAAGCCCTCTAAAACTAGTGTTGCCAATAGTAAATGGCAACATAACTTCATCAAATAGGCTTACAATCTCCGTTCTCCACACAACCAAAATTTAAAAACAGCTAAACAAGTAAAGCTAAATTTTTCCTTTTTTCCAATAATGGTGCGCCCAATCGTCCGTTATTTTTTCCAATTTAATCTTCACTATTGTTTTTCTAGCAACTTATGTTACAAGATACATACTATATAATTTAAAAATACTTAATAACTACTTTAATACAGTAATAAATGGTCAAAAGTTTTTTCATATCTTTTCATTTATCTTCTCAACACTTTTTACAATTTGAAAGGAAATCCCACCGTTATTTTACAAGTTAATTATTCTAGTATATTGAAAAATTTGTCAAAATATTGTATAAAATGTCAAACACACACATTCAAGGTCTTGTTTTAATCATAAATATATAAAAGATTTTGTCAAAAAACCTATTGTATATGTTTTATACCTATATGAGAAATTAAGAAACTTTTAGTCCCATCAAATAAGTAGTATATGAATATGAAATATTATTTTGAGGTGAACAGATGTGCTCTTTTAAATATTTTAAAAACTAGTAATTGAAATAATTTTAAATTGTACAAAACATTGCACAAAATTTGACTCTTTTCTAAAAAATAGATGTTCCAGTGGTGGAGATACAGGGTATTGCTGGAATATTTTTCTAAATAAAAAACTATGCCATTGCGCCACTGCTTTAATGTAACAATCATGATATTTTCAGGTTCCTCTTCCAATTTTAATTAATTCATGATATTACTTCTCAGCTGAATGTGCGTTATTTGTTATACGCCGATGATATAATAATATTTTTTTTTAATTGAAAATGTATTTGATGATAGGCTGCCTCTGAATTCTACCAAATGTAATGTCAAGACTTTTAGTCGACTTTGTGATCAAATTCAGTATGAGTATAGTCTGAATGGCCTTCAGCCCTTCAACGACCTGACCTTGTTAAAGATTTGGGCCTATATTTTGACCCTAAATTATCTTGTCAAGTCTTGAAATTGTGATAATGAATGCCTACAAAAGTTTGGGATTTATTGTTCGAAACATGTGCAATTTTATGAAAATTAATACTTTTTGCTTATTATTTAATACATTTGTTAGATCTAAACTTGAGTCTCTGTAGTCTGGACACCTATCTAGGCTACACACATAATATCTCTTGAGAAAATTCAACGCCGCTTCTTTAAATCAGCTACATTTTTTATTGATGGCCAGTATCCTCCTCAAGGATTTCCTCAGGAAGCATTTTTCAAGCGTTTCAGTATGAGTAGCTCGTCTCAAAGACGCAAGTTAAATTCTGTTATTTTCTTATGCAAGATCTTGAATAATAACATTATATGTGAAGATATATTACAAATGATCAATTTTCATATTCCTAGAACTTATACCTGACATTTACACCTCTTCGCGATCAAGCATCATCGTACTAATTCACATAAAGCGTCTCCGGTTCACCAAATGAATATTGGTTATTCTAATATTGAATCTCCCATAGACATACTCTGCTCCAGCATTAGTCAAATTAAAAAAGTGTTCCTTTGAATTTTATGTTTGTATAAGTATGTTTTTGCATTTGTTTGTATTGTATTATAGCATTTTAATATTATCTGTCTGTTCCCTGTTTGTTTTAGATATTACATTTTGTGGCATTTATTTTGTTTAAGAATAGTTTTTATCTCTTTCGCCTATTTTTATTACTTTTTTTTTAGTTTGTAACCTTATCGTGTAACTGGGCATTGCCCGTTGGATATTGTAATTAAAATAAATAAATAAATAAATAAATAAATAAATAAATAAATAAATAAATAAATAAATTTTGTACAAATTACTATTCTTTTGTTTTTCCAAAAAAGCCTGATTTATGAGTAAAACTTAAAAAATGAACCGGAAATAAATTTTGATATCGAATACAATGCTGTGTAATTATTAGATAGTAGGCTGGTTTATGCAAATTGAGGTATTTTTGTGCATTTACTCAAATAAAATCATCAAAATGATGATTGGTGTTCTTTATTTGATTAAATAAATAAATGATTAAAAAAGTGTTTCTATTGTAATTTAAATAAATGTTTTCAGTTTGCCTTTTCCGTTTTCCTGGAAAATAAGACTGTAGAAAATTATAAGCAGAATCCAAAAATGTTATAATAAAACCATGTATCTCAGCCACTAGAACATTGTTTTTTAGGAAAATGCTTCAGATTTTGTACAATATTTGCATAAATCCATGTGATTAATTTCAAATTATTTCACTCACTAGTTTCTAAAATGTTATAAAAAATTAAAAATATTAATTTAATAGTGTATGGTTTTAGTGAACAGTCCTAGATAAAAACTTTATACAAAAAACCTACTTTAAAATTCACTAGAATACGAGGTTTCATTTTTTGTCACTGTTTGTGAATTACCCTGTACTTCATCGTTTAGTAAATTGATGTCATTGGCAATGTTTTACGTATAATTTCTTAGAATTGCCTTATAAAGCTAGGGTTTAAGCCGCACCGTTTTCATTGTATTGGTCAGTTTTTAAAATCATATTTTTTATGAAATGTTTGGTATGCTTTATACATGTGCATAATTTACTGTAAAATTTATAAATTTTTGTAGGTCAGTGGCGTAGGAATGGTTAATAAAGTGGGATTTTTTTACCACAACTTCTATACCAATGACCTAATAATCATTTGGGATGCATTTTTAAATTCCGTGGACAATTCTACATAAAAG